CCCTTTCCCCATCCCCACCCCCCCTCCCAGCACGGATTTATTGTACATCACTGCTGGCTGAGGTGTAACCCGAGTGTGAATGATGGTTTCCCCTTCCTGAAAAGTTGGATGAAAACACATTGCATTTCGGAAATTGTACAAACATCTATCGCTTTTTCCCCCCCACACAAAACAGCATGAAACGACAAGTGAAGCAAAATCTTAGTCAACTTACATCTGCTTTTTATTTTTGCTCAGCCGTTGCATAAATTGAAAAGATCTGGTTTTGATATATATTTTTCTCGTGTTATTGGAGTACAAATAACTGAGCCATATAAAAATACATTTTGCTATAGATTTCGAGGGATACTTGGCGTAAAGAAGGCTGAGCTCCGAACCAATTTACCAACCAAAGCTTTTGTAATGTATTATTGCTCTCATTGTAATTGGTCCCCAAGAAATGTTTAGTTAGTAAGACAAATATTCTTGAAAATATTCTTACAGCGGGGTAGTTGGAGGATACAGTGCCAGAGTGACATTTATTATAGAATATAATTATTATATTAAAAAAATATGCCTTTTATTTACACTTTTCACTCTACATTCTGGCATGTCGCTAATCTGGCGGAATTATGCTCACTATCTAAATGAATAAAGGTGTATCAACAATACCTATATGTCTGTTTTCCACAGGGACGCTACGTGCGTGTGACCCACACCCTCACAGATTGTGAGCAATTGATGTACACCGACTGATTCAAATGCTTATGGAACTTTTATTTCCCTCAAAGACACTTTCACTCATGTCGCTTAATTGGTCGCGTGTATGCCACACATCGTGCCAGAGCTTCTAATTTGAGAAAATTCCGATTTCTTTATGAAAGTGTAGGCCTCATAAGTCATTCGGAACACCAGTTGTTTAATATTCAAATCGACCCACGAGACAAAGGCTTTACTTTAGCTGTTGTAATTGAGTCACCATATTGATGATAACTACCGGTATTATAAACATGAGACAATGTCTTCTTAACTGTAGCAATCGCAAGTTGTCTTGTCTTTCAAGTCAAGGTCTTGTGACAGAGGTGTTTACTGTAAGCCTGTGGAGCTATAGATCACCTGTCTACAAGTGGGCAGCGTGATTATCCTGTCCGACCTTGTGATTGACTTCTGATGGGCCTGATGCTCCCATTTAAAAAGGGGTTGTGCCGCTTGGTGGCAGCAGACATCAACAAAGTAATGCGCTTGCGCAATGGAATGTGCAACTTCTGCATGCAGTGGATTGGACAGCCATGCTTTTTTGACGTTTTTTTACGATCATGCATTATGCACTGGATGTTGCATTTTCTCTAACTGTTCCTTAATGCTTGAATGCCCAAGTCCTGGAATTACTGCTCGAATTGAAATCGGGCCTTGAACAACGAACGTGCAGTTCTATAGTTGGAAACGTCTTTTTCAGAATTCCAGTTGTTGGCCTAAGTCTCGCCATTAACGGCACGGGAAAAATGAGAACCACGTCAAGGTAAGCGGACTCTTGGCATCGACCATTTTGTGATGAAGAAAGAAGCGCATGGAGGGTTAAAGGTTCCCACCGATTATCACCATCACCAAGGCCTGGATGGCAATCAATAGGTACGGCTCTTTATTTAGCAATGCAAACTTGGCAGGGGCAATTGCTACAGAATCAACTTCAGGTGATGACCTATACATGTCACAAAGCCAGTGGATGAGTAACCGTGTGCCTGCCTCGCACGTCCTCAAAGCAATCGTGCGGGGTCAGACGCGCACAGGTGTTTCTCGTTTGTGTCTTAACAGGCGGAGAGTGTGAGGTCAAGCTGTTGCTTTGGAAGTGCACATTTTCTTGACGCCAGCTGCAATGATGTGATACTTCAGTCATGTGCTCGTGTCAGTCTTGTAACGCAAATTCTCCTTATCTTCCCAGGGCTTCGGTTTTGTTAGGGAAGTCGGACACCACGTGACCGACGGCTCCAGACCGGGCATCGATTTGGGCAGTCGTGTAACTCTGTAAACCACTGGAGCGAATTTGTTTCCCAAGAACGCCACAAATAAACGATTAAAAACCATATTAGGGATATTACCGCTACGTGAGGACTGCCTTATTGATTTTATACGTGGGATTAGAGTAACTGCGAATCAATTTATTGGCTACTTTACAATCTCTCTGTTGCATGGAAAGTTCCTTTGGTTTTTTCTTCCCAAAAGCAAGATGGGTATCGCAATTTTCTCACTAAATATGTACAGACGGGTTTGACTTGTATGATCTACTTGAGTTTTAAGCAATTTCACATTGTCAACAAAGTTGTGTAAACTGGCACTTTGTACGTGCTATGATTAAAAGCAATTGCGATTCACGTAAGTTTTGTTTTATTGTATACACGTGCATAAAATTCGGTGTTTGAACGGGCCTGGGACCTACTCCTTTAAAAGTATTAACGCATTGGCCAATCGAAATGCACAAAATCTGTCGACCCTTTCCAAACGTGTATTTTCAAAGGGTGCGCTTTCCGAGTCTGCAGGATTGGTGTAAGAAAATGGTCGAGTAGTGAAACAGAATTCGAAGACAAAGTTTCTTTCTCCAATTGTACCGAACCCTTTCTACAAGACCGAGGCTTTCTCGCGTAGGAATACACTCGTAAAATAAACTTGCTCTCACAGCTGATGTCAGTTATAGATGCAAGTGTTTTCCAGTCACATCGAAGTTTGTTCTCTTAACAAGTGACATCACAAAACTGTCTTTTGGAGTTCAATCATTCAATCGTTCACTCTCCCACGATACACGGGACTTCTTTGTAGCTGTATGAGCTACTGGTCTAGAGGAAGTCAACCTTTTGATCTGAGTAGCGATACCAATTATTCAATCACCGACATCGTTAGGATATTTCCGCGGGTGAATACTAGCTTAGAGGCTGTTAATCGATCTTTCCCGCGCGTCACCGTACTGCGTTCAACTTTTTCAAAGGGCGTGGAAATTACGCTATCCTCAATTCTTGGACAACCCTTGACCGTACTATACAATTATGTGTACCAGTTAAAGTATTAATAAAGCAGGTCCGGTGATCAGTGAGTGGACTAAATCTTAAAGTGGCGACTATGACAAGTTGACGTGTACTATAAAGTTTCGTCACTGCAAAGCACAATCAGTAATAGATGTCAACAACTTCTTATATTTCCTTAATTGCTGCGTCCCCCCGCCCCACCCCCACAAAAAGTTCTAATCTGTGCGTCCAAATCAAGACGTATGGAAGATGTGTGATCATTTCCTTCTTAAAGCACCGTTTTTGACAATAACTGCAGCAATCTCTTTTCGTGCGCCTTTAAACCGAAGGAGCTCAACTTGTATATGTGACATGTTAGCCTGTTCATAATGACCTAACCCGTCGCTCAAGTCTTCAAAACAAAAAATGCAACTTGCTTGATACGCATTTCTGTACGTAGTTGCATTTAAGACAGGCAGTTCCTTGCCTGCATATCTTGAGAGTTCTATTTATGTCTGCACTGAAACATTACTCAACTAACGCACCACATGTATCGAACCTTGTAATTATGCGCATCCGTAATACGTGGTCCTGTATGCCGTAGCACTGATTACACCAAAATAGACCATAATAGTGCTTTGGGATAGTTGACCTTAGCTGACCTACAAGCATGATAAGCAGATCTCACCCTTAGCATGAAATTGAAAGAGTTTGTTTAAAAAAAATTATAACCAATTTTTCTTCAAGCTGGTTCAAATTGAAAATACGGGAAATGTGAGCTAGGAGGATTTCTGTTCATAATTTCCTCCTTATCGCCAGTCGGTTAAAAGGAAATTGGCCAAGTATGGCAAAAGAACTGGTTACTTTGACGACCAAGACCGATTTGAGCCTATAAGTTCCTTTAAGGTACTTAAAGTTTCTGGTGTTTTTTGTTCTTTTGAAATGGCGAAAGTGAGAAAATTGTATTAAGAAAATAAGCGGCGACCTGTGAATTAGCTACACCGGCCAGAGAACTTGGAGTTATTAATAAAATTCTTATGATGAATAATTGTGACGAATTGGGACTTAATTGAGCTTTGCCATTTGCCTCTTGTAGGGTAGTTTATCCCTGTGAAAGTTAAAATGTAAATGCGCTTTGTAAATGCTTAGTCACACGCAAAAATAAACACGTCTCTATAGCAAATGCCATATCCAACTGATATCCAAATAATTATATCGGAAGGTATCAAAAAGTTGACAAAAAATAGCGTTCTGATTTGCTTTGCGAAATGATGCTTGCAAGCCACATAGGCGTGGCCCTTACTTATCTCACATCGCCAAACGTACCAAGGTCGGGTCCAGCCCTACTTCAAACGTCATCAACCCCCCTCCCCCCCCCATCTGACTACGGGGGATTTCTGTAGTGCAATGATTCATACGCTGCTCCAAATTTAGCTCGCGAAGAGTAGCCTTCAAGTACAACGTGACCTTCAGATTGAGGGAGGCATCTGATTTTGAAGATTATTTTAAGCCAGTGTGATTGCACACTCAACCCCATGAAGCAGATTGATATATTACGTTGATCGGAAAACAATTCATCAACTGCCTGCACTCTTGCATGTTCAAATTCTTCCCCCACATTGGTCAGAGTCTTTACCGAGAAACATTGTCCAGAATTGTAACCACTTTTTAAAAGTATCTAATGCAACTTTTATGCCACCATTACTCAGCGAACTCAGGACGTCAACAAGGAATGTCATTTTAGAGTTTTTTTTCAAACACATCCACACAGGAAAACTGTTAACACAGGAGCAGTTCCATAGCAGTTTCACAATTTTGAAAGGGTGTACACAAAATGCACATATGCGACAGTAATAACATTCTCTATATGCTTTACCACGAAATCATTTGGTTTTCAAAGGCGTTGCCACCTTAAACTACGCCATGACTTTCACCTCTATATCCACGAAACCACCTGCTGCGATTGCTGACGATCGCTTGAGTGTTTTTCTCTCTCGCAGTGATACAAATGTGGGGTTTATACAGCGGCTACACCATGGTGACATAAATTTCGTTCCCAGAGTCCCTGGCGTTCGTTTCAGCCTCACCATTCTCGGAGTTTACGGACGAGAACACCCAGCTGCCGGTTGGCGGAAGATCCGACTCTCTCAGTACCGTCTTCCCGCTGGCAAGGCTCTCCGGCCGGGCGTAGATTGGGTCCGGGGGGGTCGGCGGCAGCTTCTTGTGCGACAGGTTCGGATTGGGGGAGCCTGAGGTGGACTTGTAGGTGAGCAGCGTGGGGGTGGTTGACTGCTTGCCAAAAGACGCTCCGGCCAGGGTCAAATCTTTGTCGCCTCGGACTTTGGCCTTGGTCTGATTCCGGCAACAACACTGGCACAGCACGGCAAATGCGATGACCAGAATGACCAGGCTCATTCCCGCCTCGCATAGGACAACGATGATCAACGGGCTCAGGGTCAAGGGCGCTGGGTCTGTTACCGGGGTCACTGTACCTCCAGACGAGGAATTTGTGGCGGGCGAATGTGTGGATGTTCCGTTATCAGCATCCTGTTTGGTATTCTTAGATACCGACACTGTCGGTGACAGCGTGGCCTTTGATGGAATCCCAACAGATGGGGCGTGGTACACGGTGTCAGGAGACGGCCCCGGCCACATTGACGGCGGGGCTGGCTTAAGCCTTCCGCTGCTGACCCGGCCTCTCAACACACTCCATGCTGCCTGGCCGATTACGGGCTTCGGTGCCACGCGGTCGAGACTCCCACCTGACTCGTGGACTTGGTGTCCGCGAACATCAGGTCTGCTCCCGCCGGCTTCTGGGCTCCTAACTCGGACCTCCATGTCCACTACGCGGTACCCACCTCCGGGAGAAGGCACCTTGCAGGAAACCACTAACCCTTCGTCCTGGGTTGTCACCCGTGTGAGGACAATCCTAATCCCATCAGGGCTGAGAGAGTACCGGGAAACTGGTAGTGGGGGGTCCAGGCTCCAGCTAGGTTTCGCCAGCAGGGCGCCGTGAAGCCTATGCCCCTTGTTCAAGGGACATGTAAGGTGAGCATCGCCTCCTGGGACCAGGTGAACCGTGATTCTGGTCCTGTTCCTGGCAGGTGGTATCTCTATGAAGGGTCCCATCGAGCAACTACGGCTGGCCTCTCCGCTTTGGCTCGTCTCGTCCCTAAACTCAATCAAGCACGTTACTCTCCCAGTCCGCAAAGCCGCAACGTCCATCCGGTGCCTCAGATTGTATGGCTCGGTGCTGTCCGTCTTATTCTCAAATAAAACAGTCCCATGAAAACCTTGCAATTTTATGGTCATACCTGGTTTGTTGTTGAGCACTGTGCATCCGATTGGGGCCGTTTGGCTCTGAGTCGTTGCATCCGCTAGCTGCCTGACCGTGGGCTGGACACAGCGCACTGACGGTCTCAAGACGTCGACGACGGTCAGCGTTGCCGGGCGAGACCTGGACCACCGCCTCTCATTCAGCTCCCAGAACTCCACCACGTAGCAGTGGTAAACCCCCGCATCTTCTGGCCGCACGTTGTGAATGAAGAGGTTGAAGTGCACGTTCGGGTCTGACTTGCTGCCCTCCACCGTGATCCGGGACGGTTTATCCGGGTCTGCGGTGAGTAGTGAGCGGCCGCTCGTCTGGAAGGTAGCCTCCTTCATCCAGGCGACAGCCTGATTGTCAGCCAGCGACGAGACCTGGCACTCCAGTCGCGCAGTGCTTCCGATCTGCACGGTCGTGTCGCGCGGCTCCATGACGAAGAACGGAAGACTTCCTGGTGTGTCTTGGGCCAGAAGACAAACTGTGGAGACTGCGAACAAAACGATGATAAAGATCAGCGTAGCCATTGTTTATCCTTTTGTTCTGTGCAGCATGGAAAGGTGTTACTCAAACCAAACTGCTGTTAATTCTGAATAAATCCCACGTTGACACTTTCAAGTACATAGCGATGTACCTGATGCTAAATTACTGAATCGCACACGTCTTGTCGCTACTCCAGACAGTCACCAGGAGCAACACACGTGCATTTTTTAAAAGAAGACCACGTCGTTTTGTTCACCAATGACGGTCGTCCACGGGCAACGACATTATTGCCAGTGTCAATTATACCCCGAATTTTCCACGATTCCCACTTGCGATTTCCATGGGAAGTTTCTCCTGCTTGTCAAAAGTCAACACAAAATGTGCGGACTCACTTCACCGACGGTATGTCCGAACGCCGAGTAACAGCCACCGCGTTCATCATGGCTTGTGTAACTCCGCGTCGAGCCAGCCTCCGAATGACTTCACAATGTCTTACAGTAATTGGAGCTCCCCGAATCCCCCTCCTTGATCCCAACTTCCGCTGCATGCAACAGACGCGCAGAAGTCTACAGGGTTAGTGAAACCACCGCAGCATAGTACAGTCGCGCTAGGGCCGGGATCCGACGGGTGACTTGGGAAGGGGGGTTACAGGACGAAGTTGATGATCACGACGAAGCTTATGTTCGGTACCGTCTCCAGAGGACCCAGTGATATGAATGTTGATGAGAAATTTCCCGGTGACTTTTTTTTTTTTTTTTTTTTTGCCTTGTCCCGTATTACGCTGCCTTTGCGACAGGGGACCTTCTACACTTCGCGTCTTAACGGTGGAACTGATTACCACTGACAGGTGGTGTCCATACGACTCTTACATGTAGTTTCCTGTAGAAGTGGAGAATAAAACTTTCGAGGTTGTCCAACAAATGTAGTCCTACCTTCGTTGTCTTCAACCTCATTCCAAACTCCACACACATTTCTTTGTAGGCTGAAGGAGGTACATATTAGCCTCACTGAAAAAATACCCCACGCCAGCGAAATGTCTCCGTTTTCTGACATTAATACACAACTACAAAATTTCTCTTAAATCGTGCCTGATAAACCTACTAGTTGAAGAGGGAATCATTGCGGTACTTAATTTGGAATTTGAAAGCAAGTGTACCATTGTGGCGACAGTGCATTTTCTAGCCAAACTTTTGACTGCACGGGCTTGGGGGTAAGGGTAATGCAGTTTTTAGAGAACTTCTGGGTGGGAACAAGTTTTCGGATTGGAGATGATTAAAATACTTTAGTCATACAGGTTCGTAGGCGGGATTCATGTCGCAATATTTTTATGAAGAAGAAAAGCGTGCTTTGATACACCATGATAGTTGTTCCTTAAATAGCCCTATCAACTACTAATAAATCGCATCCTTTGAAAGTCGTTCAATGTGACCCTGGCAGCTTATTATTTGTTATCGGTTCTTTGCATGCAGCGTAGATCATGCATGCCTAATTAGAAAACGACGACCAATGCAATAGTTGAAATGCGACGTTCTAGAGGGCGCTGCCTTATCTAAAAGAGGACATTTTGGAATTTTTCAGAGATTTGCTTAATACTCTTTAATCTTTCACAAAAGAACGCCTATTTGTTTTGTTTTTTAAAGCGACGCCTTTTAGATCAATAAACGTTTTCTTGGTTTTCTTTTGTCAGTGCATTCTCTCCTAAACCTACCACATTTTCCAGAAACAATTAACATTCAGTTAAATTATCCCAAGACAATTATTTAATTTGTTATATTACATTTTTTAGAAATATGAATGTAATATAAGATTGGCTTGTGACAACTACATACATTGTCGTCCGTTTAGTCTCCGATTTGTTGAGTCACAAATTTTCTTGCTTTCCAGTGCTATAATAAAATCAAAAATTTGGGCGTGTCTGGATGGCTTCGAAATTAGTTGAACGTCGGACTCCGGGTGTCAAGAGGGGTCTGTTTTATGTCCAAAGGTCAGCCCTCCATTGTTCCAAACCGTTGTCTTGTGAAGACCTTCTCGCCCCCGGGAAATGACCAATGATTCGACGGTCAGTGACTATGTCAGTGCGTATCTTGGCCCGAAATACTGTCTTTCCGATCCCAAATATACTCATTCTCTGTAAACACATAAACAGAAGTCATCCCCGATCCAAGAAATGTATTCTGTAATTTGGCCAGACTTTTTTGTAAGATATAAAATAGACTGGATAAACTGGCACTATTATGTGGTTGGATACACATCAAATATTGGTTATTAATTTTTTGGTTCTAACAACCAACCAGTGGTACTGGTGTGCCTGGACAAGGGCGTGGAAACGACATTGGGTTGAATAAAAGTCACTTTCCCCAATATTGTTCCCAGTGATGTGGCTTTTGTACTTAGGTCGTACCAAGTGAATTCATTGTCATGTTTTAATTCATGCGTTACACAGACGATTTTTTTTATCCAATGGACATAAGGTCTTGCAGAACCATTCCATTGAAAACTGACCCATGCGCATTAGGGTTGTGACTATTAGCGTAGAAAAAGTAATTGGCAATATTCGCACACCGGCCATAATGAATTGAAAGCGAGGCTAACTTTGGTATTTTTATTTTGGGAAACCTAAGAATAATAAAAGCAATGACATAAAAGTTCATCACAAATTAATTTTATTTACGATGATGCATAATTTAAAAATTTGAGATAATTGTATCTAAATGTTTTTTGAAGCAACAATTGAAAAATAAAAGTGAGGCATGGAGCCCGAAATAGTCTGGCATCACCCCCATTTGACGGACGCTATTGGATAAGGTGGGTTCAGGGAATGCGATCAAACATGGCTTCCGTGTGGATAAGATCTATTGCAACAAGGATGAGTTCCCGGAGTACCTTAACAAAGCTCATTTTCCCTTGGCCATGAATGTATTTCCTGTTTTTGTAGCCGCCACCGGTGACGGACATCACGGGATTTTTACTGCGGTAAGGAACTGCTTTCCTGCCATTCATTCACCTAATTACCTGGAGCAGTGCCACTAGTTACGAAGCATTATGTTAAATGGTCTGGTTCCGCTCAGCATTTCGCCCACTTACACAGTGCCTGAAACATAAGTTCAGCAGGATCGGGTTTATAAAAATTGAAGGAGACTCTGTGTTTTCGTTTGGAGGAAAGTGACGTTGCCATAAAATGCAGTAGTTAACAGATGTATCAATGACTGTGAAAAACGGTTGATTTAAACATCCTTTTTGTTTACAAAATTGTAGGGACAGTGGCCTATAAATATTGAAAACCGCAGTGTTTGATGTGCGGTGTTGCTTTTTCCGAGTGTACTTTCGACACTGTCTAGGGGTGCACAACATGCAACAATAATTATAAGTCGACGGAGGCAACTTACTGCTTTTCTCCAGATGTTTGAGACTTTCCAGGTAAAGGTTGTGGATGTTTTTACACTGGGGGAAACGTTGCGAAGCATGCAGCTGCTGGTAGAGGGAAAAAAGGTGGTTTCAAAAAGTGATTGAAGTGTTAGAAATTGATATACCGGTTGATAAGCTAAGGCTATAAATGGACATAGTGTGGTGTTAATATAACACCTTCAAAATCCATACATAATACATCTGGTATTTACCTATGGGTGCAACCTAACACCAGTGTAACGCGGCGCTTTTTTTTAGGTGTATAACGTAACAAATTTGATTTTAATTGGAGGATATACAAGGAGTATAACGAAAAATGAAAAAAAAAACTGTGGTTGAAAGTGATGTTATTTTGTGTTTCTAATTATGGAGGCCTATAATGAACGTTGTCAAGTCCATTAATATTCCACTTCCTTTATTTTCCTTCGAAACTGCTATCAGACATTCAGCTCACTGAGTTTCAAGGAATGTTGGGTTATCGGTGTTTGTCTATCGTGCCCTAGTCTCAACAGAACCCAGAGAGTATTGAGATATTTACAGTAATTCCAAGTGACACCCAGGGACGTCCAGATACAACAGGAAGAGGCCGGAACTTTTCCCCCAATCTGTCATTTTCGGCCTGCCCCTGAACTACCCCTACGGCCACAAAGCGACTGGGCACCGCCGTGAATAATAAACTGGAGCTTCCCCGTGGAAAAGATCGGCGCGCATTGCCCCTTTCTTCGCCCCTGTCGAACTGGTTGGCCAGTTTCCTCGCTATCAAACTCCATCAGATCGACCATTTCCTTTGTGTCGGTCTGTTAAAGGATGCAGACTTCTTTGACTTTGGATTCATCTCAGTAACTGACCTTGAGCAACGTTACCATTTATACGTCTCCCCTTTTTTCAAACAACCTTCAATAGATTTCCTGGCAACCGTTCCAAAAATCTGCTTCCCATGCAGGCGTTTCCTCTCTCTTGGGGTCCTCGAAGTCTTGAGGAAACGAGGCCCATTTTGAAAAAAAAATTCAGGGACCCTCTTTGGTTTCCGGGGGAGCGTCTAGTTATAGAGTTGTGGGTCCCAAGCGATCAGATTTCAGCGGATGTTTTGCTGTGCCTCACAGCAATAAAGACGCGCCGGAGGACATCATCGTGGTTTGTTGTACGTCTTTACCGCTGATTATTGATGCCGCCGGCGTTCGCCTCGTCACTGCAGTGTGTGCCAGGTGAAGATAACGCAAAACTGCGCCAGCCATTATAATAATAGCTATCCTCCGAACTGTCTGCCGCGAGCCCTCTCTGCGACAATCAAACCGCTTTAAAATGTAACGAAATGGACCCTTTCAAAGACGGTTTTGATGGCGGTCAAAACCATCTTCGTTAATGTTCGGGATTCAGCAGGCCCAGAGCGAAGACCGGGTGACGTGATTTCAGGAACATTTGTTCTAAAGCTAGCTCGTAAAGGCGCCCTGATTGTGACGACCGTCCTGAGTCCTTTGCATGGCTGAGCTGACAGGGACCCCTCTGTGGCTTCAGCGGCAGTATCCTTAACTTTCAAAAACGGTCCGGAAGAGATCTTGTTCTACACAAATGAAGCCTCGCTTTTGTTTTAATATGTCGAGTCCTTGAAAAGAGCTAAATAAATTGTATAATTTCATTGATATCAGAGTCAAACAAAATAGGAATGCCGCTTGCATTGTTGCGCTGCCGAACTCCTTAAGCAATGAAATTCATTGTGTACGCCAGTAAGAGAACCATGTTGCCCAATCACAATTTTTACACCGCAGCAAAATTTTGCTAAAAAAATCTGCCTTTAGGCCCCTCCCAAAAGTCTCCAGTTTCTGGTCAGTGCACGGTGTCGCCGTAGACCTGCGCATCGGCAAAATAAAAAAAGTTTTTATTTGGTATAAAATGATGTCCAAAAGCTGCCAGACTTGCTTAATCGACTGGAATCCTGCTTAGGCCTGATTTTAACGTGTTTTGATGGGGTACTGTTGAGTAATATGTACTGTGAAGGAGTCCCTGTAGTTCCCCGTACATTTAGTTGGGCGCTCTTTTCAGATGATGTCATTTCTGTATTATACATTTACATCTGGGAACCAGAAAAACAAGGTGGTCTTACGTCCTGTGTACATGTTTGTACAAGCTGAAAATGCTTTTGAACAGTAAAAGTGCAGGGCCAGTCTATTTTAGTGTCAGTAGTAGCGGGCAGAGTTACGTGCACGTGCAGCCGCGATGGACATCCCGTGTTATCGTGCATCATTTCCAAAAAAAGTGAAGTTAAAAAAAAAACAAAAGCTGCATCACCGCACCACTTTTGGAGCCGACTCCTAATCAGAAACGGGAGACATTTTCTGTTGGCCCTATGGCCGATTGACACACACCAGAAAAATTCAGTTTACACGGTGAAGTTGAAAATTATTCTTCGGAGCCTACGCTGTAACAGAAAAAAAGATTTCCTATGCTACACTACTGCAAGTGTGTGTTGTACGTACCTTTTGTTGACTTACAACGTAAGAGGAGCGTACATTGAAACTGATACTTTACTTAATTTTAGTTCACGCTGAAAAGGGAATGGAGTATGTTTTTGTTTTCACTAGACGTTGGCGACATTTTGACATGCTCCCCCATTGAAAGCACGCGAATGTACCCTCAGCGGAAGATCGCATTACCCATACGGCTGTTCGCCCATTTTGGACGGCACGTATCACGCACAGTCATCCGCTTCGAATTTTCGCGTCGGGGGCCAAAGAAATATTGGCTCATGTCTGTTCAAAGGTTATCGCTGGGCTGTTGTCCCACGGCCGGCTGAAAATAATCGAAGGGTTGAAAGGGAGAACGGGAGCAGTTTACTTTGAAAGCGTACAATAAGCGTCTGAGAGGATGTTGTGATTTTAACGATGGGTTGGAGCGTGTGATGGAACGGATCTGCACGGGGTTCACTTGGGGGTGGATTTGGTTCGTTTTATTCTCAGAGCCCGTTGTTTAGTGTCTGTACCATGGGTTCATGGCGACGCCCCATGTAATAGGGGACCTTGAGCAGCCTTTGAGGGGCTTTCAGTCTCCCATGGGAAGGGCTGTGACTTCCCGGTAAGATTTTCCTTTTTGTGGTAAGAATTGAAACTAGGGGGAATCAAATTAATGCCACTGGGCCCACAATCCAACAGGCTCATGTAGGCCTTTAGTAAATGTACATGAAAGCGTAACTTGGCTGTGTTCATAGAGACCCTCCCTTTCCAGCTAATTGGCAAGGGCTTCATTTGTCCGTTCCCAACAAGAACTTTCTTGCAGATTAACCCATTTTCATTATGCCGTTTTCGCTTCATCAGCAACCCGATTTTGCTTTTAAAGTGTAGCTGCAATGACCTTTTCTTAGACACAGTTTTTTTCAGCAACTTTGTACTGTTCTCCAATAAACGAAAATTCTTTTGCCTTCCTACTTGGTTCATTTTTTTTAATGCACGTTTTTTAAATTATTCATATTTCCCGGACAACCGTTGTGAGGGTGTTGGTGCCGGTGATGCCATACAGTGAAAAACATAGTTCAGTGCATAGGTTTTCTGTTCAAATTGTGAAAAGATTTCCGAGAAAGGGATTATTACCTATTGCCATGCAAATAAACAACAATAAATCGGCAAAGAAGAGAAAATGTAATCCGGCAAAATTTACAAATCTGCAGGACTTTTTTGTGCACAAACTAAAGTACAATCGAGGCTTTGTTCCTGGTATGACGTCACAGTGTTTTGCTTATGAATATGAAATACTCGGCTAAAACAAAATAGTGAAACATAAGTTGAAAATCGAGTTAAGACACAAAGGTGTCTTTTTGGGGTATGTATTAAAACCAATTGATTGCAGCCACCCTTAAAAATCCCCTTACTGTTGCAATCTGCAGCTTTGACATTTTCGTAACACTTTTTTGCACTATTAAAATGAATATAACTCAAACATATTTCATTTCGTACATTTTCCCCGAATATATCGCAATGAAACTAATATTTTTGGGAGGGACAAAAATGTGCTGAGTTTCAGTCCGTCACTTCAAGACCTGCAGTGTAACTTGACTTCAAACAATAAATTAAAGCCTAACTGAACAAGTTGATGGTGGTAACGTCGTCCTTTGGCACCCAACCCAATGGGACTAAAGGTCGACCTCAGAATGACAGCCGTTGATTTCCGCAACACGGATGCTCACCCAGTCAAAATAGCCTGGTACCCGCAAGCTTTCCCGTCTCTTACCCTTAAAAAGGTCACTTGAAACTACATCCATCATCGATAACATCACATTGGCTACATGACCTTTCATGAAATGTTACGCTACCATATGCTTTTTATTTCTCAAGTTCCTCGTGGGCGGTAGAAAATGTTTTACGTGTTGTGTACAATACTACGGTGGATCCATGGGGAGGAGGTCGAAGTCGTGAACATGTGTCCCCCGGGAAACCTTTAAAAATGAGAGGGCAATCATCTTCTTGAATCATTATGGGCATGTTGACTGCCTCTGCGTCCAAAGCATTTCCTCGGTATTTTGCAATCTCTGTCTGGTCACATGCAAATCTTGTGCCATGTGTCAGGTCTTCGCTCGTCACCCACGGCCCGAACTGGGCTTGTGGGAAGGGCTGATGGCCGGCCCTGCACAGATTTTAGTGGAGGAAATACGTCACATGGGGTCACAGCTAATACGCGCAGAGCATTGTGGGTAAATATCTGCCCAGCGTGCGAGCTCGCTCAGTGCATTACACAAGCGGCTGTTGATTTTCTTCTTTTTATTCCTCATCGTTGAAAATATCGTCTCTACACTTTATTCGTTCCTCCAAAATTGATCAAGATAATCAACGATTTGAAATATATCACCAAAAGACACGTGATCAGTGACAATAAGTGAGAAGGTAAGTTACCACACTGTGATTACACTACCACACTACATGCACTACCAGCAATATTTGCGGTCGTTTGTTCCCGGTGTTCGAGCGGCCGATCCACGAACAAAAAATGGAGCTGTTCGCGAACTATGAGGGTGCACCACTAAAAATAGATTCCCATAGACAGCAGTGATAAATCCCCATACTTCACATGTGCACAAACATTTTAAAAATATAACTCTCACAGGTATTCAGGCTGCACAAAAAAATGATGTTCCACATGTCCTCTTCCATTTTCCTTTCAATTTTTCGGGGTTGACCATTGAATTTTTGAGAAATTTTCACCAGAAGCAGACCACCCCTAAAATGCAGAAAATGTCCCTGTCCTTAAAAGTAGCCATTTTGAAAAACCATCCCTCGGCAAAATGGCTCAAATAGTGCCTCTTTAAAACCCGATTGCATCTAAATTGCTCAGAATTGGAAGCCTTGAGTCCGGCCGAGAGGTTCAGTCTCATATTTCTTCAATTCCTCAGTTCCATGGCTCTCAGGACCCTCTAATATAGAATATTTTGAGTCTATATTTTTTATTAATGAGCTCGGCAGACAGATTTCTGGCCAAAATACGAGGGTGCACCTATAAGCGAGAACAAGCCGCCCGAACTCAGCCGTTTGTCATCCGTCACTGAAGTGTAGTGGACACAAGAGGGCGCAAGCACGTGACGGCGGGCAAAGCAAAAACAAAGACGTCACAGAGATCCCAACTGCGCGGACAGACACCCTGCAAACAACACGTGTCGTGGGTTCGGTGGCACACGTGTACGTTTGGTCGCTTCAAATTTAATCCGTTTATTTTCGCGACTTCGTGTGTCATAAGAAATTAGACTTTGAGGAATCGCTGGCACGCCTACGTGATGACATTGATGGAGTAAGTACAATGGATTTTGCTTTTTTAATATTATTCCACACTTTACAGGAATAAAATTCATATTATTATTACCAGTCAGAGGCGTACGTAGTTCTTCAGTTGAGAGTGATGAGACCATGGAGAAAGGAAAATACCATGTCGAGACTAATCCCACATGTAGGACTAGGATTCCTTGCTCTGTGGATCAATGCCTACACTCACTGACTGCAGTACACGGCCCATTTCTGTGAAAATGACATGAGTAACTTTGGGGTTCATTACCTTTAGCACCCTGTTCCTATTTTAAGGAAACAAATTCTACCTTTCCGAAATAACTTATCTAAACAAGTTATTGGTGATGTCATATCAGAAAGAAAAGAGAACAGGGCTTTTGGTTTTTGAGAGAAATTTTGGGTAAAACGGCAGCTAACATGACTGCCCCAAAGAGAGCTGTGAACAACAAATAAGCGAATGTAGTCTGGTTCCTTGACCTGGATGGGAATTTGTTTTGTGAATCCAAGGGTACAGTCCACTAATTCAAGCCCTGTTGAAAAAAGTGTAAAATCAGCACTGTTCAGGGCCCAATAGCATGCATGCCAACATCCCTGAGATTTCTGAAACATAAATGAAATTTTTGTCTGGTCACTTATCTTTCAATTTCTTTTCAATTTTTTGTGGGTTAACCAATTACATTTTTAATTATTCCCACAAAAAAATCCCCCCCCCAAAAAAGTGATTTTTCCAAAGTCTGATTGCAGCCGTTTTTCAAGTGGCAACCCTCAACTTTCTTTGGCACTTAAGACCATTTTTCAACCGTAGTTTTAGCCATTCTGCTCTTGTATGAAAGCTCAAAGACCCAGGGAGTTGATCCTGGCAAGGATTTACACAATCTCACCATTTTAGGGGCCAAAAAGTCTCCTTTTTCAAAAGATACTGTGGGGGGCACTTTTAATGCTAATGAGCTGGCCACAAACTCTCACTTGAATTAGTGGTCTGCACCCCCAAAGGCCTGAGTCAGGTAACCAGACGAAAAACAAAATGGCATCATTTGACTGAGTGGTTGTCTTTTGCCAAACTCGCGTTAGAAGTTTGCAGTTTTCTTGCTTAAATATTGTCGAAATTTACCTAAACTAGGCCTATCAGGATTGAGTAATGGTTTCTTAAAATGTTAGTTAAAATGAAAAAATGATGAAGATGACTCTGATGTTAGCCCGTAGCATAGACAGTGAAGGTGAGTATGTGTACTTTGTCCAAAGACTCTGTAAAAAGGCCCTAGATATCCGCAGAAACAAACTGAACAATTCCATACAAAACCTTTGTGCTGTGGACTTCCTTTGTCTGACAAATTCAACAATTCAATGCAGCTTTCCTCTAAGGAAAGGTACGGCTTACAATTGTTGTCCATTTTTTCAAATTTTTATGATGAAGTCACCACTCTGTTTTCACTGCTGAAGTGAACACCTAGAGTCAGCGATGATGTTCGTATTTTATCTCCTTTTTGTTCTTCTCAAGAAGCGGGCTCAAGAGAGACTCAAGTTTCAGTGAGGCCCCAAGTGACGGCCACTCTGACAGTGATGTGGAACAAGAACAGTGGATGGAGAAAACAGCAGGTAGACAAGCTGTCACTTGTCAGTCATATTTGCCATCTGTGAAGAAATAAATTTTGCAGGTAGATTTGGCCCTGCTTCGTAACGTCTTAACTCTAAAAGAGCTTGGTTACATTGGACCACCTCACAGCCCACAGCAATCCCCCCAAGAATTGGGCTGTCCAATGCTGGATTTTGTTTAATACAAACTTTCCTTCTCAATTTAAGTATTGAAGTTTTATCTCAATCTGTCATATGGTTTGACAGTCACTTGGAAATTGGGAATGGCAGTGGAAAAGTATACAATTTTGGTTGACCTCTCTCAGAAAAAAGGTGCTGTGTGAGAACGGTATGTTGGATTTGCCCAAAAATGTCAGAATGACCAAAAAGGGTTATTCAAAAAAATCCAGAAGGCTTCTTGAAAATATGCACCTTGATAATATTGGAAAATATGTTTACCCTCTTTAGGGTAAAATTCAGAGATTCTTCAAGAAATTTCCACTCACCCAGCCAGAGTTTTCACAATTTCTTAAGTTGAGAAAGCAGTCACTGGGTACCTCTTGTTTTTTTTACATGTGTCAACTGGCTGAATATGAACCTTTTCTGAATCAGCCAGCTTAGGCTGACAGAATTACGTAAGTCTGTGGCAAATGACATGCCCAAACAAAAATACATTAATTACAATGCATACAGACATAACTGCTCCCTTTTTGTTGCTATATTTTTACCAGGTGTTAAAGGTGATACTGCGTGGTTGGTCCCCTGCCTGTGGGCTCATCTTCTGGC